CCTGAAGGCAGGACAAGAAGCAATGGATGGAAACTAATAAGTAAAGAAGCAACTTAGAACGAAGGAGAAATTTCTTGACAGAACAATTGATTAGTGGAACAACTTGCTTCCAGAAGTTGTGAATGCTCCAACACTGTAATTTTTTAAGAAGAGATTGACAACCATTTGTTTGAAATGGTATAGGATTTCCTGCCTGAGCAGGGGGTTGGACTGAAAGACCTCCAAGGTCCTTCCAACTTTGTTATTCTGTAATATTCTGGAAAGTCTTCATTATTTGATTTCAGATACCGGTGCAGTGGGAACAAGCTTTTCCTAATTCTTTATTTTGTTCTTGAGGTTCTGTCGGCTCTAAGTTTAAATCCTTTCCAGAGTAATCTGAAATTTGAAAACAAACCCATTGAACTCCGTGTTTGATAATTAATATCACAAAAATCAGAATTATACTGATAGTTCCCTCTATCACTTCTATGTTGTCAGGATGCCATTTGTATTTTAAACCATAATTAATCTGTGCTATATTAATTAAAAGTCACTAATGTGGTGTTTAAAATGTGACAAAACTTTAGAAACATATCAAAGACTTGGCTCCATGCTTTTTTTAATAATAAAAAATGAAAAAAATAAAGCAATGGTGAAAATCAAAAAGGGGTTTTGTTTTGCTTCAATGAACCTTTTTAAGAAGATTGGTAAAACTGATGCCTAGGAAAGGATTATTTTTTGTCTCTACTTAGGACTTGAAAAACCGTAAAAAAATAATATTTAAACTTGGGAAGTTTGATAGCAAAATAAGAAAAATCAAAGTATATTTGATAACATGTGACCTAATCAGTAATTGTTTTAGAGATACTGTTTCTTTAACTAAACAGACAAAGGGAATGACCATAGGCAGGCAAATAGGGAGTGGGAGTGGGCGCACCTTCTGACTTCCTGCCGGCATCCCCATTGATTTTCTTTGTAGGAAGCTGGTAGGAAGCATTGGAAATGATGATTACATGACCATGGCTGAGTGCAACAACTTTGCCAAATTTCAGTCCCATAGGAGTCATGGGTCCTATATGTTGGATGCATTCTTCCCATTTAAGATATGCTGATTCAAAAATTATTGCCCTATAATACAGGTAGTCGGCTTACAACTATTCTTTTAGTGACCATTCGAAGTTACAATGGCATTGAAAAAAGTAACTTATGACCATTTTTCACACTTACAACCATTGCAGCATCCCCATGGTCATGTGATCAAACTTTGGGGGATGGGCAACTGGCATGTAATTATGATGGTTACAGTGTCCCAGGACCATGTGATCTACTTTTGTGACCTTCTGACAAGCAAAGTCAATGGGGAAGCCAAATTCACTTAACAACCATGTTACTAATTTAAGAGATACAGTCATTCCTTTAACAACTGTGGAAAGGAAGGTTGTAAAATTGGACAAAATTCAGTTAACTGTCTCACTTAGTAACAGAAATTTTTGGTTCAATTGTAGTTGTAAGTCAAGGACTACCTGTACACTGTTTCTTCCAATTGAAGGTTACAATCAAACAATCAGACACAAAAGTTTTAGTAGCATATAGATTTGGGATGGGGGGAAAGAAACCTTTTCCTGAATTCCTTGCTTGATTCACCAGATTAAAAAATATACAGATTTTAAAAAGATGAGAAGGTTTCAGGATTAAAGGAAATAAAAATGATCTCCTAAAGGGCAGCCATATAGACAACAAGTGTTGAGCTTCAGATTTCCTGGTAATACAGGGAAATGTTCTCATCTTTTTATTCAACATCATTAATTGTTCTTCAGGAATGCAACTGCCAATTACATCCTATTATTATTATTGTTATTATCTGAAATAATATGATTTCAAATAAAATGGTAAGTTTTGTTCTTTGCAGCTGCAATCCAGTGAATGCTTTTTTATTCGAAACTGAAATATTTCCACTAGTTTCAATTGATATTTTTAATGTCAACAGTTTTCGTGTGGGTAGGAGTGAAGCAAATTCTATTCTCGTTAATTCCTAGTGTGAACAACAGCATGCATATTCTCTCAACTTTCAGCTGTAGCCCAACCAAGCACGTCTATCCTTGTCATTTAGCCAGACAGCATGGTGAACAGGTCTTGTGGCAAGTGGAGCCCTAGATATCTGAAAGGATTAAATGGGGAAAGTTGTACTGTACAGTCTAAACCTTTCTAGGGGATGGAGTAAAAATGGTAAAGATGGCATTTCTAACCCATGCTAAAAGTTCCCTCTTTTTTAGTATTTTTGACCTTAATGCACTTATAGGTAGTGCATCTTGGTGTACAACCGTTATTGAGTCTGGAATTATGATTGTTTAAGTCATTGCAGTCATAACTGAGGCATCATGGGAATGGATTATAACAATTTTTTATAATGGTTGTTAAGAGAACACCATGGTTATTAAGTGAATGTTATGGTCATTAGCAAATATGATGGTAGTTAAATGAATCCATTTTCCCTACTGGCATTTTTGCCGGAAACCAGAAGTAAATATTGGAAACTGGCTAAAAAGTCACAAATCATGGTTATGCTGCAAATGGCCATAAAAGGGGGCCAACTGCTAAATACCAAAAATATGACCGTGGATGTTTGTTTGTGGCTGTTGTAATTCTAAAAATGGGGCATAAGTTGCTCTGGGGAGATCTATTGTAACTTTGAATGATCATTAAGCAACTGGCTGTAAATCAAGGACTGCCTGAATAAAAGTAGCAGGGCTTTGAGCAGTTGCAACTATCAACTTTTCACACACACCCCTGTACTACTGATACCAGGAGGAAATCTCATGCTGATTTTGAATGACTGATCCTGACAAAATCTTACTTGTCTCAGAAAAATATTAATCTCTGAATCTCCATAATGTCTAGTAGATAAAGAGGCTGATATGACCATGCAGGCATGTCAAACTCGCAACGTAACGTGACGTCGCACGATGTATCGGAGCTTTTTCACCATTGCCGGCAATGAGGTGGGCGCGGCTCTGGTATGATGAAACTGGCTGGCGGGCCGGCAGTTTGACATCCCTGGACCATAGTTCCAACTAAATTATTAAATTGATGTTTCCCAATATTGGCCCATCACAAGTTGGTGACTGGTATTTTTCCCTGCTGTTGAGTGTGAGACGAAATGCTGTCTGGGAAACAACTGCTACCCTCAGCAATGCAATGAACCAGCAAGGTGCCCAGTACCATTTCTGAGGTTCAATAAATTATCCTGTGGGAGCAGCACAGTCTGTGTCAATTTATTTTTCCTCCAACTTCATGATAGGAGGCAAACATGAAAGCGCTTGTCTACTACAGGGCTTTTCGATCTTTTCACTATTGTATCATTTTTAGGATATGACAATATCCGAGTACCACTAGTTGCCTAGCAAGGTGTCAAAAACTTGATGACCCCCAAAAAAAGAGAAAAAAAGTGATAAAGTACAGGTAGTCCTTGACTTACAACAGTTTGCTTAGTGACTGTTCAAAGTTACAATGGCACTGAAAAAAGTTCCCCTCAAGGCACAGCCGAGCAAGACAACTGCCTGCCCGCCTGGGCTCTTCCTCCTGTCCGAGCTTTCCATGGTTGCATTTCTGTTGAGGATTGGCAGCGGGGATGAGGTGGGGGAGTGTTTGGTTTTTATTCCCCCCCCCCCGGTCTGCTGGGTGGTTCCAGCAGGTTTTGGTCACTTCATATGACCCTGGGACACTGTGACTGTCATAAATATGAATCAGTTGCCAAGCATCTGAATGTAAATCACAAGACCCTGGAGATGCTACAACATTCCAGCTGATCTGCGCTTCTTCAGGGCTCAGCAGAAGCACCAGGATCAGCACGGAGCTCCAGCTGGAACCTGGCGCTGATCCTGGTGCTTCCACTGAGCCCTGACAGTCCCGAAGAAGAGCTGATCCTGGCACTTCTGCTGATCCCTGACAGCCCTGCAGCTCCAGCCATCTCTCGCTCAGGCTTGTGCTATGCTGCCACCGGTTCAGCTCATTCCCCTCCCCCACTACCACTTTTCTAGGATGGTCGTGTACCACCTGCCAGGTACCAATGTACCACAGGTGGTACCCGTACCACTGGTTGAAAAGCCCTTGTCTACTAGACCACAGCTTTTCAAACTGGGAAACTGCAACATTCGAATTCCAGGAGAACCTGATTGACTCTAAAAGGGAAAACAAGTTCATATGTACAGTGGCAAGGGTGAAAATGACGGCCTCCATCTTTACTAGGAAAGGTGCCTTGGCCATGGGGTACTCAAGAAACAAACACATTTTGTATACGCTTGTCCTACCTTCTTGCAAACTAATTCTGCTCCAGCCCTCCCTTTCCCTTTTTCTGAGCAAAGTCAAATGGGAGTGGGGGTGGGGAGGCCGGAAGAACAGGATCAGTTTCCTAATCTGCCCCCCTCCCCCGTGCAATGGACCAATACGTTTTATTTAAATTTCTACTGGAATCTGGAACTTTTATCTTTTGAACAGTTGTCCGCCTGCTCTACATGAGCCCGTTGTAAGATAGAAATGGAGTAGATTCAGTTACCAGCAGCTTTCCCGTACACGCCGCATGCAAAATTTCCTCCTCTTGATAGTATCGGGAAGAACTGAAGGATTGCAACTAAATCCTACCCGTCTACATTTATGTGGGAGTTAGCCCCGCTGTACAAAATTTATACAGCCTTTTTCAATTCAGGGAAGGCATACGAAGGGACCTTTTAGTGCTTTGACCCATTCATTTGTTAGGTTTACATCCCCTTTTTTCTCTGAGAAAATTTCTGTCTTCAAAGTGATATCCATAAATATGACACTTCCCACGTGGCTGATTTATGGGAAATAAACTGGTAAACTGAGGAAAACTCGGAGAGTGAAAATAACACGTTCGCGCGCTCGAAAACTAGTATTTGGTGACGGAGAAGAAGGCAGCACTAGGACCCTCGCGGTTTCTAAACTGCGTCGCGGCCGCGCTCTGCCTGTTGATAAAAGGCTCGCGGCGGCGTTTTGACGTCACGGGGAGTTAATTTTAAACCTGGACAAGATGGCGGAAGGAGACGCGGCTCGGTACGGGCAGCGAGAGGAACAGCCTCGGTTTCAACCAGACTTGACAGGTAACTAACCGCCTGCTTCAGCAAAGGAACGCCAGCATCCCTGCTGAAGACAGATGACGGATCTAGAGCCCGGCGTTTCTTCTCTCCGGCTTCTTTTTCCCGTTAACGGCTGAGGGCAGCAATAGCTTCTCTCGGGGGTCTCCGCGTGCAGGCGACGGGTGTCGCGCCAATTGCTGTGGGCAGAGTCTGGGCGAGCGAGAAGACAGCGATTCGTCTTCCCTTCTTCCTTCGGAGCGACCCTTTCTCACGCAGCAGTGGACTAGGTAGAGGGAGGTTGCCAGAAGGCCTCGTCCCACTCCCTGTGGGGAGGTGGGTGGGTAGGTGTCTTCTCTAAAGAGGGGCGTTGGTCCGTGAGTGTGCCGGTGGTCAGCAAGAGTCGGGGAAGCTGAGAGAGGAAAAAAGCCAGCAGGCAGAATGACCCAGTGTGGCAAACGGCCGCCGTGACTGCAGCTGCAATGAGGAAAAAAGATCTGAACTGTCTGTTGGCCTATTTAGTGGTAAAGGGGAGCGCCGTGGTATATATTTTGCCACTGGGCTTCACCACTGTAAGAAGGAAGAATAACGTATGGATAGGCAAGCCAAGGAAGAATAACGTATGGATAGGCAAGCGTGGGCGCTTGTGAACTTGACAGAAAGGGGAGTCGTCTCTTCGATCAGTGATCCACAGACATGGGATCTCTGTACCTACGAGGGTAGATTAGGAATTGCTAAAATAGGCCTGACTCGTTCCACGCCTGTATCCACTTGAAGTTGGAGCGGGCGTCCTTTGCAATGCCACTGAGCTATATTGTGTGGCAAGCATCAACCAGCGTGTCAAAGGAGTGAAAGAAGGCAGTGACCCACGTGGTAGGGCTGGGCTGGTCCATGATGCCTGTCTGATTATAGCTTTCATGAAGAATACTTCTTGAGTAAATGTAAATAGTTTCTGAGCCTACTCAGTGTCACTGCTGTTTTGCATTAGACTAGGAGCACTAGTGTTTCAAGGCTTTCAAGGCTTACCTAGAGTGGGTGATCAAACTTGGGATTTTTGTTTTTTGCATGCAGAACATATGCTCTTTGTGTGTAATTAGAATGGATTTGGTTGGGTAGCTGAGTTATTTACACAGGCTTTATGCTGTTATTTAATAGTACTGAAAATAGTATAAATGGCATAGTGGACATAGTGGGTTCTAGTGCATTATATCATGTAATATAGCAGTGTAAAGTATTACAAGTAAATTATGGTGCTGGACTATATACATTGCTAAAATGTTGTAGCAAAGTCTAACTGATGAAAGGAACAAACTATTTAAAGCAAATATCTTCTGGTTGGCAACTCTGATAATGGTAGTTGCAGTATTTTATGAAAGGATTTTTTGAATGTATCGTTTACAGCTAGAATATGTGACCTAGTTTTAAATACTTCCAAGAATGTTTCTCCTTTAAATACTGTTTGTGTGTTTTGTTGCCCTCTGTCTATTTTTGCAATTTGTTTGTGGCAATCTTTGCATGAAATAGAAGACAGAGGAATATGAACTTTAATTAAAAACTGGTGGCTTTATTTTAAACCAAAATGGTTTAAATTGAGAAGTAGTCAAGAAGTTTTGCTTTTGATTTGCCATGTGATAAATGTGTATGCATATTTGTTGTCAAGCCATAGGGGAATATGCTTGTATAATGCTTGTTGCACATCTCTCCATAAATAAACATGACAATTGATATTGAGTTGACACTGGGATTTGTAATTTAGAGAACATTTCAATATAAATTTTGTCCTACAGTAAATTAATTGAAATGAATTTTTTAAAAACATAAAACTCCTGGCCAATACCATTTTTATAAATATTTTCCCTTAGAAAATTTGTAGTGGTATATTTAGCTTCCTCAAAATGTATCTTTGTAATGTACACTATGAAGGTATGCTTTGTATCACTTAATTGAGAGTTGATGAATTTGCATTTATGGTTTTATTTAGAAAAACAGTATTTGTAAACCTGTGCTCAGCTCACATGGATAGGCTGCCTTGAGCACAGGGGGCTGACTTTACAGTAAACAAAGTTTAACAATTATGTTCCCAGATATAATTAGAAGCTATTCTCCTAAATTACTTACCGGTACTGCACAGAATGTATAAGAGCGGATAACAAGGTTATTCATCCCATCAAAACATACAATTATATGATTTTTGTTTATAAAATAAGTATTTGAAAATTAAATTGTACAATTCTGTCATTGTTTTATTTAACATATACTACATGAAATTTAATTACTAAAAGTATTTCTTGCCCAACTCTCATGCCAATAAAACCATTAATTTATTTATAAAGTGGGTTGCATGAATTCATTTATCTTTTTAGGAATCACAGTTTTGTTTCAGAATTTGAGAACCTCTATAGTTAATTTCATTAATTATAGGTGAAATGAATAGTGCTGTCTAAGTTTAAGAACATAATTTGTTGACTTGAAATTTTATATTATGCCACTTTTTACTATTAATATTTTGAATTGAACTAAAATTTAAAAATACCTAAAGATCGTAGAACTAATTTTTTAATGAAAGTTTGAACAATTTTTTAAAGTACAGATAGTCCTCTACTTATGACTACAATTGAGCCCAAAATTTCTGTTAAGAGATGCTAAATGAATTTTGTCCCATTTTATGACCTGTCTTGCCATAGTTAAGTGAATCACAGTAGTTGTTAAGTTAGTAACACGGGAATTAAGTGAATCTGGCTCTCCCATTGACTTTGCTTGTCAGAAGTTCGCAAAAGAAGATTATATGGCCCTGGGACACTGCAGTCATCATAAATATGAACCAGTTGCCAAGCATCCAAATTTTGATCATGTGACTATGGGAATGCTACAGAGGTCATAAGTGTGAAAAATGGTCGTAAGTGAACTGTTAAGTAGAAGCCTACCTATAGTTTTAGTTTATATATAATATAAACTAATTAATTAATATATGTCAAAATAGATTTTATACATATTTGTAAAATAGATGGTAAGCAAATCATTTTTTTAAAAAAGACACTGAAATGATGAACAAATGATACTGTGCAAAAGCATTCCTGATCTTCAGTTATTACTTGACTCATCTGAGAATAAGAACTTAATCAGCTATAGGTTCTCAGTTATAGTTTTGAGCCTTTTAAAAAAATAGGATAATACCATATCCAAAAAGTTATATAATAAATCAGTTATGTTTGCTGTTGGTCAAATTCATTTATATTTTATCAGGATTATCAGTTTGCTATATTTCATTTATCAATTATTGTCCTAAGATATGAAGCCAGATGACCCTCTAAGAGATCTGTATTGACTCCTAATTAAGATCAACACAGATTTATGCAGCAGGCCCTGTACTGATCAGGCAGTTAAAAATAAACAGTTGATGATGAAAACTAATAGGTCCAGCAGAGCTAACTAATAATCCATCCTTTCAAGTTTTTTTTAATAAATCATCCTCCTAGTGAGCAGAGAATAGTCTATATATTTACTACTTGTTTACTGCATTCACTTACATACTTTACCCAAAACCAGGAGAGAGCCCTTTTTCTTAATACTATCTTTTGGGAATTAATGTCCTTTTTTTTTCTCTGCCAGAAGCCAGACTACGAAGAAAAGACAGATACATTTTACTGGAAGTCTGATCTGCTCCCTTCTATAAAGGTTTTGAAATTAGTCCAGATCACATGAAAGTAGCTCAAGGGCTGCATGCAGCTTAAGATTGCAAGTCATCCATCCCTGTGCTATGTAAAAAGAAACAATTGTTTCTTAGCCTGTCACATATTGCAAACAGCTATAGAAAAACTGTTTGTTAGTTAATACATTATTATTGTGCTTCAGAGCCTAGGAACTTGCATCTTTTTTTAAAAAAATAAGCTAGGATGGTATTAGTTTAGAAATCACTACTAGAGAAAATTAGGGCATATGTAAGGCATGGAAAGGAAAGAAACAATATCCAAGAGAAAGAAAACAGGAATAAAGTTGGCTGGAAAGGAGGAGTAGGGCTTGTCATACGTCTAGAACAGCGGTTCTCAATGTTTGTGTGACGGCGACCCCCATGCGCGCATGCGCGGCACCGCCCCCATGCGCAGCGCGCATGTGCGGCGGCGGCCCCTGAGGGGGAAAAATGGCGGATCGCGTTGTTTGGTGACCCCCGTAAAATGGTTGTTCGACCCCAAATGGGGTCGCGACCCATAGGTTGAGAACCGCTGGTCTAGAAGCTCCTAGGCTCTGAAGCACAATAATTTTTTGTACCAGTGTTTATAATCAGTGGTATGGAAGAATTGTGCAGGATTACATTTTAATTTTCAAAGGTACATGAATTTACTTCATGTAAGGCAAGCACATAAAAACCTTTAGTTTGGTCCAGTGGTGGTGAACCTTTTAGAGACTGAGTGCCCAAACTACGACCCAAAACCCACTTATGCATCGCCGGGTGCTGGGTAGGCATGGCCACCAAGTGGGCGTGGCCACTGAGCTGTTAGCTTGTGCTCGCTCGCTCGCTCGCTGTCCACTCCGACTTGTGCTCGCTGTCTGCAGCAAATGCTGCTTCTGCTGAAAGTTGCTCCTTTTATAGCCTCTGGCCTATTCCCAGACTGCGCATGCGCAGAGAGTTGCACATGCGGGGAGAGGAGGAGGGAACAGCTCGGCCCAGCAATAGCTTGTGTGCCACCAGAAATGGCTCAGTGTGCCGCCTGTGGCACGCGTGCCATAGGTTCGCCACTACGGGTTTAGTCTATATTACTGTTATTTCTAAAACCTTTGTCTAAATAGAGTTAATATGTGGGATCTGCTGTTCTACATTAAGTCAGCTGGTAGGAAAGGCTAACTAGTCTATGACTGTCAATTGAACTTTGCACATAAATTGGGCACTTTAGAGATCTGTTCCTCTTGGGTAGTCAGATAGCTCCTAGGTTTTGTTTTGTTTTTTGCTCAGAAGATGTGTCTAAATAACATTTTCATTTGAAATGAAAGAGAAAATGAAATGAAAAGTATTTTGTTTAAGATGTAGTTTT